CTCTGTTAGCAACACCCAAGACCTTAAAATCATCTGCAAATTTAAGTAATTTATTGACTATTCCTTCATCTATGTATAGAAGCTTATACATAGGATATTCTATCTAAAGTTTTATTTTGTTCAATTTTACACCTAATGCAGTTGTTATTTATATATAGAAATTGAGAACTTCATTAGTGTATGTAGTTGTAATTTCCTTCCTGCAGGTTCCATGACCTATAAGCATACAAGTAGCACACATTTTAATTTCCTGTTGGTGGAGATTTCCTTGCAACAGGCAGTGTACAGTCTGGTACATGTATAAACACCAGACAGATGACAGAAGGCAAGTCTACCTACACATAGGAAGGTGATTTTCTCTTATATAGTTTAATTAAGTTTTAAAGATAATGATTTTATTATTATTAGATATATACTAAACATAGACTTGCTAAGTATGACATACATGTTAATGAATGTTAATTCATTGATTCAGTATCAGTGTTTAGATTTGTAGAAAGAAAACTTACCTCAAATCTGCAGTCAGTACAAAAAAGAAAAATTTATTGATTAGGGTGTCTTAATATAGGTTGAAGTTTTTCATAAGGTTTATTAACAAATGTTTTAACACAAAAAGATTCTAAATCTGCATGTTTTGAATCAAGTTCTTTGTTGGCTTAATACATTTTCACTTTGTATTTTTAAACTCAAGTCATTTGAATATGTACTTATGCTAGTGTTATGTCATATTAATTTATTCCAAGTTGAATCTAATGCTAATTTTCAAAATACTGTTGTACCAACCGAGCTTTCACTAAAGTACTGTACTGTTACCTAGTCTGTTGCTCAAACTCTACCACTAATTAAAGCTAAACAGTTTGGCCACTTGACATTCATTGTCCTCAGATAGACTTGCAACCTACAACCTGCATTAGAATCTCACAATATGAGAATCTCTACTGTCTGAAACAAGGAAAAAAAAATCACCATTACAAAAACCTAGCTTAAAGGACTAGAAAGATGCAACTTAACAACTAATAAAAAGAACATTCAGCAAATTGAAGAAATAACCTTACTTTCCTGCATTAATTAGCTAAATAACTGTGCCCCAGTTATGACATACTTTCACAGCTTTATGATTTATCAAACATTTTCATAACTGATACTTCTCATGGTTCATAATCAGCTCTCACCTGCAATTACATCTGTCATTATCTATTCTTCACCTTTTATCTACTTTGAGACTGGACAGAACACTCAGAATCCTTCCTTATTAATCTGTCATTATCGCTATCGGTTTTACTTGCAACTACTTCTGTCATTATTTGTTCTTCAACTTCTATCTACTTTGGACCTCCTCCCTTCCCTGTAACCCCTGTCCAAATGATCCATCAGCACTTTAAGTATTTTATGTAACTTACTACCAAGTCTTTCTTTTGTTTTCTTACTTCGCTTTCTCTCTTTCTACTATGATACCAAACAGAACATTATTTTTATTGCATGATAGATTTTACTTGGATTGTTCAGAATATATTTATTAACTTTGAATGATCATGGTTAGCTTTATTTACAGATGGTCAAACCACAGAAAAACTTAGTTCAGAACTATCCCTATTTTTAGTTGAAAGATGTAATCTGTAAACAAATAGAACGATGGCCATGAGATCACCTTTTTATCTAGTTATTTGCAATTATTTGATTCAAAACTTTAAAAGAGGACACTAATTGAACCAAGATATCACCTTGGAAACATTATGTGAGTAGTATTTTCTTTAACTATACCAATGGTTCCTAACTTGTGGGGTACACAACTGTCTTTGAAAAACATTAAAAGGAAAATATACTTCATGCTTAAAAATTGGAGGATAGTTTCAGTGAATTACCAATTGTATTCCACTAGCCAGCCCTCATTGTTTGCATATTGTTGAACGATTTATTTTGATTCATCTTTTTATTAATATCAAGAACCCTAAATTTATTTTTAATAGATTATGTACATCAGTTGTTCACTTCTGGCTCAAAGGTCTGACTGAAAGGTATGCGACATAAAAGTTTTTGGAACCATTGAACTAAACAATGCCATCATAAACAAGCTCAGGATGTTCTAAACTATAAAAAGAGTTGGTACAGAAATAAATTTTACTATAAAATAAGATAATAGAAAATGACTAGAATTTCTTATAATGAAACACACCACCACACCTACCTTTGTTTACAAGAAGATTACACATATTTTGCTATTTGGCCAAGGATTCATTGTCAGTCAAATAAAAAGTAATACAGTATTTACAATAAGTGGCTAAAAACCATCTGAAATGAAACCCTACTTGAAGCTAAATTTAAACATACTTCCCACAACATTTAAAGAGATCTGCAGTCAGTAAGTCTCTCTCTGATAATAGAGAAAAATCATGAAATAAAGGCTTAAGATGATAACTTACCAAGTAAAGATTCTAAAACCTGGAAAGATCGAGCACATTTAATATCAAATTATACTGCAAAATGAATAAATATATCATCTTGAAAGTAACATGAATACAGAAAAGGAATTATTAGAAACTTGGAGCCTAGCTTAAAGACTGTCTAAGACTTCTGCAATGTACTAGTTTTCTACAACAAATTGAAGCGAGGTCAGTTGAATAAAACATATGAATTGAGGTCATTGCCTTGTGAAGCTACATCATGAAACATATAAACATTTTAACTTGTTACTATGATATTCTTATGTGATTTAAACTGCAAAGGAATATATCACTCTCTAACTCTTGTTCATTACCATGTCTGTGTTTCTTTATCCATTGTAATCAAAACAATTACAACTAGTGGGGCACTCAGTACAGTGCATACCTATGCCACACAGCTTTGATCATATTAGCTCCTCAAAAAATAATCAAATGTGTCCCTATGTTTGCCGTTATCAACAAACATGGACCATTTTTGGCAGGAACATGAAGAATAATATTCTACATATGTCCACCAAGTTTCATCAAAATCCAATTATTTTTGACTGAGCTATAGAGCAAAAATAGTGTGAAAAATTGGTCTCTGTGTTAACGGATAAGAATGTTTTGGATTTCTTTAACCTTGCTGTGACTTTGACCCTCCAAAAACTAATCACTTCTAAGTTGAGTCATAGTCCAAATGTATACCAACTTTCGTCAAAGTCCATTCAGCCATTTTTGAGAAACCTTGCTGACAAACAAACACAAGCTTGAAAATGTAACTCCTGTCATCTTCAGTGGCAGAGGTAATAATGTCATAATAAGAAGTAGAAGGTTATAAATATTGTGTACCACATATTGAGAAGTTGAAACCACATAATCTCCATTGATTTAAAACTGGAACTTCAATTTTTTTTCAAGATTACTGGTTTAATATTTTTAGCCATCCAAGTAGTTTAGCTGGGTGATTAGAGGAATTTGCTAATTGATTAATTGTTGGACTCATTGATTGAATACATTCAACTATTCTTCCCATTGCTATGTTTTTAGAGTTTTATGTTTTAATTACTTGTCATTTGGTATTATAAACATCTTCAGGTACAACAAATATGGATTGAGTTATTTTTTTTACCCCAAAATATTGTATATGAAAATGTATATACAATGTAGTACAAAACCTGCAACAAGCTGAAAATATGAGTAATACTTTTCTGTGGGTTTCTCCTAACAAATTTTCACAAGACTGCTGTACTAAAACTAAATAAACTAATTATTCATTGAAAAATAATCGTCCTTAAGTTTAATGTGATAAAACTAGTAAAGTTTCTTGTCACAATGGGTGATGGGTAATATATAATTCAGCAAAAACAAGTTCATACCAATCATAGAAAAATAAAGACAGTAGAACATTTACCATTTGGCAAGAAAACTTGTGATGATACAAATGACTAAAATGATTCATAAAGTGGAACTGAAGGTATTATAAGAAATATTAAAATCACAGTAGTATTAAAAAGTAAAGTAATTAACAACTTTATAAGTATTGAAAGCATCATAAGCTTTTAAGTGTGATGTTGTTGATACAATTAGAAGTTTACAAAGAACAAATTAAAATAATTAATATGTTTATTTTTTTACAGTACAGGCTGGAAGAAACTGTTGAAACACACATGCATGTAAAGAAATCAATAAATAAAGTAATTAAAAGCTTACTGTATTAGGCAGTGTTTGAGCAGCCATTACAATAGCCAGACTTCCATTTTCCATTTTGAGTGTTTTTTATCTAGCTAGAGCTTGTCTTATTTAAATAAGAGTCTTATTCGTGTTAATAGGTTAATGACATAATGGTATTATAAATTGTTAGATTATTATTTGTCTAAGTCTAGTAATTTCTGATAAACACAGTTAAATGAGTAAGTTATTCAGCAATCAACATTTGAGCTAATAAATAATAGTGAATATTAATTTTCCATTACTTTTATTAAAGCAATTTTACCCTAAGCAACACTGGTTACATTTGTAAGCAACATATCAATGTGGCTAATTATGTAACTAATGACCATTAGGATACATCCTCAAATTCATGAGTTGGGTGCAAGCAGAACACATGCATTCTGTCATGTACATATATGCCAATGGAAGTGGAAATAACTAAAATTATGAATACTTGGATAGTTGGAATAATCTGAAGATATAATAATAAGAAACACTAACTTTAATTAGTTGATTATTTTTGTAAGTCTTGTCAGTAATCGATAAGCTGAACAACCAGAATGTAGTCAGAAATACGCAAGTTAGCATTTGTTATCAGTGAAGAAAATTTCTCTTAAATGTTATTAGTGTAATAAACCTACTATAGTTTCAGAGTTTATGTTGAAAAATATTTATATTTGAATTGAGGCCTACAATTAACATCAATATGAATATAGCCTGAAACAAGCATTACTGAAGAAACTAATTTATTATTGTTAATGTGATAAACCACATTACAACTTATTATTTTATATGACACTAATTGATGCAACACATGCTTATAGGTAATCAGTTATATCAAATGGTCGAATTAATTACCCAGCTATACTGAGTAGTGACCTTTTCTTGATATACAGTGGATAAACTTCCTCATACAACATTTGTTCATATATCACAAAATAAACTATTTTAATTTGATATAGAATGAAGTTACAAAATACAGTCTTAAACTCAAGCAAACCTAAATGTGTAATTCTTAATTGCATTGAGTATATGTAATTGGTTAGTTTACAAAAAAATACACATCTGTAAAAAGTATGTTTACAAATTAATTGTTGTCTCTATAATATATACACTCATAGAAAATAAAAACACACCACCTCATGTTTTGCCATGATTTGTCAAATTTTCTTCATAAATAAAACAAATCGTACATTAATTGTTTATTTTACTCATCCTTAAAACATCAATTCAATAATAAAACATTTCGAATTACCTGAATAACTGAGCCAGTAGAAAATGATTTTTAACCAGATTCAGTTCTTGTTTAATAGCACGTGTGTCTTCCATTTGCTTCAATTACATCTGTTATTGTGTTGCCTCATGGATTGACAGAACTCTCTGATTTGATTTTGCGGTATGGCTGTCCATTCTTCCCTCAGTGCTGTTCTGAGTTGCTTTTGCATTTATGAAGCATGTGAACGCTGTCCCAAATGCCTGCTCAGTAAACCCCAGAGATTTTCCATGGGGTTCAAATCCAGGCTCATTGCTGGCCAGGAAAGTACATTAACTTAGCTGTTCTCAAGAAACTCAGTATACGAGCTATGTGTGCTCTGGTATTGTCTTGCTGAAAAAACTGCACCAAGCCCTACTTGATCCAGAAAAGGCAGAACCACTGGCTGAATAATTTCATCTCGTTATCTCTGAGAATTCAAATTCCCCTCAATAAATCGAAGTTCTGTTCGGTGATTTTCAGATGTATCCACCCTTACCATTATGCTAGGACCTCCCCATCTGTCCACTTACTGTACACATGGAGCAGCATATCTCTCCTTTTGCCTCCTGTACACCCTTTGTCTACCATCAGCTCTGAAACCTTTTCTTGTCAGTAAAAACGACCACCGACCACCATTCATCCAAGATGGATGTGGCAACATTGGAAGTGGTTGTCTTAGTGATGGGTAGGAAGGGTTGTACCTGTGTAAGGGCAATAAGGTCAGATTCCAACATGTGACAAACCATTGTGGATGGTTCTGGTACTTACAGGTCTGTTTTGTGTCCCAATGGAGGCAGTAACTGTCTAGGTAGAGGGCTGGAATCAGTTGCACCAGTTGGATCCATCAGTCTTGACGAAGGGTAGTCATGTGAGATTTTCTTGGTCTTGTGAGGTTTGTTGAACTTCTAGTATCATCATATCACTGCCGTAAATGCCCAATCCTTGAATGGTTGATATTCAGTACTCTGGTTACAGCTCTGATGCTCTGACCAGCTCGAAGCATACCAACAGCTCTATCTCTTTGTGACTGAGTCAATTGAAGCATCATGAATGCTGTGAATTGTATTGGTTTTTGATGCTTTTTTAAGGACAGGGGACACACCATTTTGAGATGTGGCCATTCGGATGGTTTTGTTGGCTCATGTGTGAAAAATGGACAAACAGCAGATTTGTACACTTCATTTGGCTCATCAAAACCACTGAAGTGTAATCATCAACATTGCCTGTTTTATTTCTTTTTTTAATTCAACAAACAAACCTAATGCCATAATTTGGATCAATTTTGTCTTTCTACAAAAAAAAACACATGAAAAAACCAAAGTGGTGAGTTTTTGATTTCTCTGAGTGTATATTTTTCTATGAATTTTGATGATTTTTTGTTTATAAGCATGATGCAGATAATACACATTATTGTGCCTCGTCTTTCATAGCATTTTGTAACAATTTAATGCATTTAAATTAAGTTTTCCAGCATTCTAATTAAGTTTTTATTTTATTTTCAGAGGATTGGTTAATCTATTTTGTTTTTTAAGAATAATTTAAATTATGCCACCCCCACCTCCAACGGCTCCTCCTCCACCTTTGTCAGATGTTTGCCCCTCACTTGATAAAAAAGTAAAGACAGATCGTAATGCACTGCTGTCAGACATCAGACTAGGAACCAAACTGAAGAAGGCAGTGACCAATGACCGAAGTTCTCCTCAAATAAATGGTTAGTGTAAAGTGACCACAGATATACTTGTTACATACACACATCTGAACTTTATGAAATTTTTCACATATAACATTTTTTATCCTAGGCACAGAACTAGGAATATTACAAAGTTAAACATTTTAATTTTTTCTAAGTTTATTGAAAGTGCTGTCTATCACATAGATATAAATATGCAAGATTTAGTATCAACTAAACATTGTATCCAATATAGGTACCAATTGTTTAATTTAAATTATTTTGGATTTCTACATGTCTCAAAGATGTATTGAGAAATATGAGTTTGTTGTAAGTTTCATAATGCAGTAAAACCAAAATAGGTTATTTTTCAGAATTATCACAACTCTTACTAGATCTAAATTCTCATTCAAGTTTGCATTATTATCATGTTAAAATAAAAATTATTTAAGTAATCAAAACACTTCAATGTTAACTTTTATCTGTCAGATGTGTAATCAAAATTATGAATTAGTAAATATTTGCATTGGTATATGAAGAGATTTTAACCTAGTTGATGGGGATGAAGGGCCAAGCACTTAATGGAGAAGGCCTCTTCAAACAGGGGGGTCTTTGGGCTAGCCCCCATAAAAAAAATATAATCTGGAAGCAAGTTTCTGCAATTTCCTATATTGTGATAGTGGGTTTTGGTGGAAATGCATGTTATAGCTTGAGTTGGGTTAACAAGGTTTCCACAAACCTGAAAAATCACGGAAATTGGTTAGGTAATTTCATTGAATTTGACTACTGGTAAGAGAAAATCAGAAAAATAAACTTTGCCCCATGTTACAGAATGTAAAATATGGAAGTGAAATGTAGAACTTAAAATGTAAAATCTTTTATAAACTTCTGAATGAAGAAAACATCAAAAGATATGCTTCATCTGGTGTTGTTGCTTTTTATGTTACAAGGTTGCCAATCCCTGTTCCGCATTACTAAATGCTGTAGGATGAACTTTTATATTGAACAACTGCATATATATATATATATGCAAATTTTTATCAGGGAATGTTTGTTAATGTTATATTTCAGGGGAAATTATAAAAATTTGTGTGGGAACCCTTATTAAGAGCATGTATTACACTAACTATCATAGATTAAATCAAAATAATCAAGCTAAATGGTGACTTGAATGCAGGGAGGGACAAAAAGTTACTATACACATGGTATTAATGAAAATATTACAAAGACAATTGAAACCAATTGTATTATTGTTTGTTTCAGGGTAATAGTTAGAAAGTAAACTATGTTCTAAATGAAACAACTGTATAGTCACTTTTGCCTCATCCTGTGAATATTAAGGATCACATTCTTATGTTAGTATTTTTTTTAACTTTTCTTATAATAAAAGAAATTGCTTTTAAAACATGGAGGAGCTTAGCCCCTCCACCCCAAAAGCCACCAAGGTTCCTACACCTGTGATTTATATTATAGAACAACAGAAAACCTTTTGGAAGAAGCATTTTACAAATAGAGGTTATGCAGTTTGTAAATTGTATGATGTGCAAAAGTATTTTTATTCTTCACATGAACATTACCCTGCACTCTGAATCAGATTGACATTATCAATATATATACATTTCTTGAGTACAAACACTTCTGATTTTTTGTGTATAGCATTTGTATATTTTATGAAAAACTTGCTACATTTTGCATAGATACACAGTAAATTCAGAATTATAGTCAACATTTCCCCTCTGGCATGTCGTTCGTCCATTGGAAGGACCCTGTGCACATTTGATGTATATAACATATCCATATACAAGTGTTTTATATAGTTAATTTAATTTTAGTTGTGTTTGTTAGGTCATATTTTGTCTCTTTTTATTGTTCCTTATAATAAAAGACAAATAAAACAAATGGAATATAGGACAGAAGTGGAAAAACTATTGGTATGGAGATATACTGGAGAGACACAATAGCATTGCCTATTTTTAGTATTTCTGTTTGTTTTAACATAGTGGTCTTGTTTATTGATTATTTCAAAACACTACTTTACATGTAAATTAAAATTTTCTTTGTGCCTATAGATTTTTTTTTTCACTTTGAATAAAATCATAAAATAACTGACAAATTTTAATTAAGTTACCCTCTGATACTTGAGAGTATGAGATAATAAATTTGGATGATCTTTATTGGAAATATTTTTTAATTAATGCTTTTTTTTATGATTAGTTACTTACAGACTGGTATTAGTTTGAATTATCAATTTACAAGGATGTACATGCATATAATTATTTGTTCTTGAACTTGCCAGTGTCACTAGATAGATTTTTAAAATTTGTGATTATCTATATATTCATTCATTCATTCTTATGTCTGTTGAGGTAAGAATTTGGCTGAAGCATTAGAAAATAATGTGTGTGTAATCAATTATGATGTGCTATTATGATAATTCTTAATCATATGTATCACCAATGAAGTTTAATGTTTTTTGAAGCATGTAAAGGAACAAATCACAAATCTTCTGAAAAACTCAACTCTCCAGCTGGCCTTGGTGGGCTATTTGCCCAAGGAGTACCAAAGTTACGAGAAACTGGGACTCGGCCAGCAGCTTCAGCAGGTTTGTATCATTGTAGTAATAAACAAATACTGTTGAAGAAACAAAACAAAAATTTGGTCCTTTAAGCTAGGATGTCTAAGAATGTTTTAAAAATTTAATATCTACAAGGTGTTAATTGATGAAAAATTATGTTTTGATTAGTTAATTATCTTACACGACACTAGTCAGTTTAATCATCATTTCACGTAATTGATTATTTTGTGAGACATTTTTGAAAATGTTAAACTGAATTTCCATCAAAACTACATGTAAGTCATGGTTTATTTGCCCCTCGTGTATGAAAGTTTCAGTTTCATATAATGATACTTGTAGTTTTTGCCACTTTTGGCAGTACTATGTTGTAGAGAAAAATTTACATGTACATAAGAAAAAAATTCAAAAAGTGAAACAACTGATTTTAGTGTGAAATTTGTTAATATTGTATAAAGTATAGAATAAAAGTTACATGTGCATTAGAAAGGGATTTTAGAAAATGTGACATTTGTATGAATGTGATCTAATGTGACTAAAACTAAGAAATCAACACAAAAAAAGATGTAAAGGATTCAGTTAAACCATCAACAAGTATCCAATACATTCTTTACATTTGGAATAATTATTTAAAATATTTAAAAGAGAAATACTAATAAATGTTAACAAAAATTGCACAAGCTAACTGGCTTCATGCTAACTTTGTTGTATACCTTAACTCCACCTCTTCCTGAACTAACAATATGCATTTTTTGCATCACCCTGAAGCTTTGTTTGATATGCTTTTAAATAACAGTTTTGAAGAGTGATTATAGCGGGTAAAGGTAATGTAAAAATCCATGTTTATTGTATTTATTAAACTATGATAGGACAGTTCAGTTGACCAGAGAGAAGATAACTATACGTATTGTTTGAAGCTCTTAACTATTTGCATCTTAAACCTCTTCTATTATTCTTTGTATTGTGATAGATTTAAAACAACTTGGCCAGTGACAGTATCCAAAATTCTGATGATTTGGCCACAAAATAACTTTTAAAAATCTAAGCAATATGAACTCGCATTTGTACATTGTCTCAAAAAATCCTTAGAAATGCTGATACCTGAGTTCAAGAGACACTGTAGAAAAACTGCAAGCATTACAAATATTCTGAATGATATGATTGTTACTAGAGCTACTCATAGACACAAATATGCAGTGTTTGGAGAGCAGTAAGTAAATTAGATGTAAAAACTTTTCCTTGTACCTTCAAATGACATGAGTTTTATAACCACACATTAATTGAAGAAATTCAGAAAACTTATTAATAAAAGATCAAGACCAATCTTTTTGATGTTGAACAACCTGTATATACAGTAAGAAGCATGCCACATTTGGTGATGAACAACCTATGTATACAGTAAGAAGCATGCCACATTTGGTGTTAACAACCTGTATATACAGTAAGAAGCATGTCACATAATCATTCATGTTTAGCTTAAGACTTCTAATGATGAAGTTTGGAATTTCAATGATGACACATAGTATGGCTATAAATCTAAAACTGGCCTAACTCTGAATGTTACAAAAATAATTAGACTGACAAAAGCTCCAAGTTTATGTTGACATTTTTTTAATGAGATTTTACAAACAGTCTAATTATGTAAGCTACCAGTTTTCTGCAGCAGTTGAAAATATTTCTTATATTGCAGAAAAGATGTTTGCCAATCAACATTTCTGTGCAAACTTCAGAAGAACAGATTGTATGCTCGTAAATCTGGTGAAAGTCTTATACAAACATTGGTATTAAGTGTCACTACATTACAACAAAATTCATTACAGCATGCATAGAAAATGATGAATGTGCAAAACAAGCCATATATGCATTTGTAAATGTCCATTAAACAAAGATATGACTAAATCACTTAAGTTCCCTATTGCAGTGGATCCCAAACTGTAGTCTGCATACCAAAAGACGTCCACGAGATGGTCATAGGGAAGGAGCCAGTCAGTGCATGTAGAAATATTCTCTTTAAAACTTCTATGATGCTAGACAAAGCAGTAATTTATAGGAGAATGTTATTTATTATAGCAAATATGAGTACATAAGTAACACAACATTGTTTATGCTTGAGATGTTTTTTTTTTCAAGGAACAAATTGCAATGCAAGTAAGGTACCTTATAGTGACTATTTAAAATGTCTATTAAATTATTAGGTAGGGCTTCTCAGACAAGATGTTTAAGGTCATGAAAAACTACAAAGCTAAAAGGTTTTGGAATGCTTGCCTCAGATCTTACAGAATTTACTGAAAACAGTGATTGTTTTCAAGTCACTGGAAGTTGTTATTTTGAATCATTGAACCTACAATTTTACTTATTATCAAGTTAACAAGTTTCATAATGTGCCACCAGGAAGCTGCATAAGTTCCTGAACATTATTGTCTGTTTAAAGATTTGTTTAGAAGAATTATTTTAATGCTGATCAAGAGATTCTGGGGTGACTGTATCCCATAAGATTTATGCATCTTCAAAAAAGAATTTTTCTGTACAAAAGCAATTGGTTAGTACATTGTCAATTAAGCAAAAGCATGAATTGAACATGTATAGGAATTGAAAACGTTTATGCAATGAAATCTTTAAGCAACAGGAAATATTAATCCTTTGATGGCATCATGTCTCTAAAATGTTATCATTTTATAATTGAAATTTTTCCAATGAACATTGGTAAGAATATGTGAGAAAAATTGTAGATTTTTTAATATTAAAAAAATAAATTGAAATGCATTTTATTCTGCCTTTTTTACATTTCTTAAAATCCAGATAATATGTTTAATTGTCATTCTTATTGAAGCAACATTACATGAAATTATTATTTTTTATTTAGTTTCAAGAGGAAGATCAACTGAAAACCCTAATGACCAAAAAACATCATTAAACAAATCTTTACATAAAAGAGCTGTAAGCTGTTCTCAGTCTCTCACCCCAGTCAAGTCGCATCAACAAACCTTAACTAAATCTTCAACTATTAATAAAAACAGTAATGCTCATACAGCCAATCATGTGATAGGACTAAATCAAAGGTGTCCATTCCCAAATGGTTTACGTTCACCTCATGATTCTCCCCCCACCCCACCACAGAAACCAAGCAATATCAATTCTAATTACTTGACTGGTCAGAAGTATTGTTCTCCTATATCCAAAAAACCTCCTACAGTATCAGTTGGTTTAAATAAGAGTACAAAGAGAGAATCTTTTCCAAGACCTTCACCTCCTCCTCCTCCAAAGAACCCACAGCTCACCCTCACCAAATCTCCACTGATACTGAACAAACCTGTCAGTGTAGTAAAACAGCAAGATATAAAGGCTCAAAACATTAAAAATGATCTTAAATCATATTCTAATATTACATCTCAAAAAGAAGTTTCAGCCACAAAAAATCAAGCCCCATTACTTTCACCTTCACAAAATCAGAATGTTACTGGGGGTCTCGGTGAACTTAAGCATAAACCATATTCAAGAGGTGTTATGCCTTCTTCTAGAAAACAAAAAACTGCTCTGTCTCCACCATCAACTACAACTACTGTAAAAGCTACACCTTCTACTAATCGCCCAACCCCTCCACTTCCACCCTTAAGGTCACCATCTGTAGCACCACCCCCTCCACCTCTACACATAAATGTATCACCTTCTCCTTCTTATACAAAGAACCCTCCACCACCACCACCGAGTGTGCACCCTCCTTCTCCACCTGCTCAAAACAACTATGAGAAGACAAGTAAGTTTTATGTTCACTTAATTGTTACTTGTGCATGCATTTAACAAAACCGTATTACACTGCATTAGGGTGCAACATGGTTTTATATCTGGAATTGAAAAAGAGAGATTAAGTAAGTAATATTTCATCAGAATTTTCAGGCAATTTTTTTTTGTTTCTTGATTTTTATGTACAACAAAGTTTGTGATAGAGCCAAAATATTTCTATGTATAACTTGACTAATGCCTGTATTGCCCCAATTATGTACATTTACCTCAAGATAACTTAGAGTATTATACTTAGAATGTATAAACAATAGATAACAGTAAAATCGTGTTAGCCAAAAGTTGTGAAACCAACAAAATGAAAATAATGAGTAAGGTAAAGTTTTAAGTCACTGTAATAACATTTAGTTCTTTTTATTAATATGTATCCATAATCTGATATATTTTGAAGATGACTTGTACAAAAATAATTCAAAATGAACTGATGACCAACATTATTTTAGTGTATAATCGGCTAATTTCTAGATATTTTTGTGATTTTACTATTAGTTCTTATATAATAAGTGCCTGGTGTGTCAATGCACTTGTTTTATAGCTTGTTTTATCGCATTGCAGAAATGGGACTACTGGATAAAAGATGAATTTTCTATATATTATGTAGCTTCTGCAAATAAAAGATCATATTTTTCATATATAATATTTCTATGAATTCACAGTATTGAAAATTTGAAAAAAATTCATTGTAATGTTTAAAAAACAACAAAAATGTTTACCTTTGTTGTAAATTTTGATTATTGATTTTTATGTCTTTCTACATCCTTCTAAAGTTTTCCTGTACAGTTTTTATTTTATAAAACTGCAAGTCTTTGTGTTGATTCAGTAAACACCACATGGAGTTGCACTGTGCTTATGATCACTAGTGTACAATAAAAGTAACTTTTTACCATACCGAAATTGTAAGCAAGCTGACTTATTTTGAAGTCAGAAATCAGAAGGTTTAATTTAATGTATGTATCAAGTTTTAATTCCATTATATATTTAAATTTATTATCAGTGATCTTATTTGCCCATTCAAGCAGTTATTTAAACCAATAAGGCCTAGTATAATCACAACCTACCACCATGGCCATGTTGGCAAAATGAAACTTGATACATCCATTTACAAAATTGTTTAACTAAGCCTACCTCATCTTGTTCTGTAAAAAACATTTCTTGTCATGATGCAATTGAAGTATAAAATGGTAATGCAAGCTTTAAAGAATCAGGACTGTAATTGTGGCAGAAGTTGTTCACAAACATATTTTCTTCTAGCAACATCACCAAGCTGAGCTTTTATCACTTTGTTTTGATCTCTGCTGAAGTTAAAGCCATATGAACTTATTAATTTAAAGAGAATGAAAAAAATAAGCTTTCATTACATTTTTAGATCACTGATCTATGACTTCTCAAACAAGATGGAGAAACAGTGATTGGCCAGAATTGATAAAACTACACTAAGTTTTTAGATGTTTTTTATTCACCACAGGGATATTATATTTATATAGCATTTCAAGAATATTTAGCATTGTTGCTATTAATTTATTCTTGTGAATCATCCAGCCAACAAGCTGTTTTAAAATACTAAAAAATAGAAGTGAAACTCAATCTATCATTTGATTTGACACCTATTGCTGAGACGACATAATAGGTTAAAATCATTGCATTTTTGATAAAAACTATTTTGACTTACCTTTCAATTGGTTACAAGAGTTGTATTATGCTCAGAAAAAATTCAGGAAATTCACAAACACTAATGTTTTAATTTGGAGCATGATGAATTCAGTCTATAATCAAAATTTGCAATTAAAAATATATAAAATTAAATAAAACTTCTATTGAATAAATTTTCAACACTAATTTTTTTTATAATGTGTGAAAGAAGGATTACAAAGTTTTTCTATAATATTTTGTAATTCTATGGTGTAAATTGCCCTACAGGCTTGTTGCATCCATTTGGGCAGAATTGTTAGATTAAAATTTGAGCTTTGGGTATTTTTTTCTTCTAATCTAGACCTCTAATTTTAAGCTAATTGTTTTTTTTGTGTGTAATTTATAAATTTCATTTCTATAGTTTTTCTGGATGAAGGATACATGTAAAAAATTAAGTGATTATTACTTCATACAAAACTGATACCAGTGCTTTGTTGTTGTTTTTTGTGGATGAAATTGCACAGTACATTTATTGAATGAAATAATCCTCTGAGTTTTTCTGATAACATGCAGTTAAATCTTTCATGTTGAAATCCTTGAGCAAGCATTTACATCTGTGTTTAAATATGTAGTGTCACTTTCATTTCAGTGAAGCATGATAGATGTACACATATATATATATACACATAACAACAAAAGTAGCATTTCTAGTCAAATTACCATTAGTTTCTCTGAGTGTGTCTTTCCAACATCATCTGTGATTTTATATGTAGTTTGAATTAAGTCTTTCCAAAAAACTGTAATCAAACTGCTTGTTCCAAAAGATAAATTGTGGTACTTGAAAAGCATATCATAAAAATAAGTAAATCTCCATTAAAAAAATTATCTGAAAATTTCTAGAAATATTAACATATAATACATACCTTGGGGTGGAAAAATTTCCTGATATATTGCCGATTTCTGTGGAACGTTAACTGCGGAATTTGAACACAAAAATAGGGCATTTAGTACTAAAATAGAACAGCAAAAAATATTTTCAAGGGTGTTTATTTTTTTAAGGCATAAATACTCAAAATTTTATGATCGTTTGAAAATTTGCAATTTTGGCTATATTTTCCAGATAAGTGCACCTTTTTCCAGGCCCTTTTCTCTTTATTTTCTTGTTCTTTTGCTTTTTCCTTCTTTTATGAAAATAAATTCAAATAAATGACAATTCTTTTATGATTTTTTTTTGGATGAATATTTATGTTGACTTTTGAACAAATACAGAATTCATAATGAAACATCTCCTTGGGCTCCTCCTTCAGCTGCTTGCCTTTCCTTGTTAGAACAAGTACAGAATTCATAATGAAACACCTCCTTGGGCTCCTCCTTCAGCTGCTTGCCTTTCCTTGTTAGAACAAGTACAGAATTCATAATGAAACACCTCCTTGGGCTCCTCCTTCAGCTGCTTGCCTTTCCTTCTTCTTTTTCTGTTTGATTTGGCTGATCTTGCTTTTTATTTTCTTCTCATCAGGGAACCCTTTGATTGGGTTTGCCTCCTTTATCATCTGATATCTTTCCAGGACCACTGCATAGCATGCCTTTGGTGCAATGTTTTCATTTGCATTAAGAATATAATTGATGATATTTGTAAGCACATCTGGAAAACGTATACAAGTTGAAAGTTGGCCATTTGCTGCTCATTTTTCTTTGGCAATGAATTTCAGTGGGTTCAAATATTTTTTTTTCTGGCTTAAATAGCCCCGTGGGACTGAGAAAAAATTTGTACCCTGGAGGTATGCATTACGTGTTAACTTCTGACCAAAGCAAGCTGCCTATACAGATCAGAACTGAAAATTAACCCCAATAAAAAATGTAGGTAATGCGCTGTTCTTCATTATAATAGTTAATGTATTGATTCATCAGTTTGTTACCCTCACTATTAGCAACATTTTTAATAGTAATCTCAACAATATCTAATGAGATTTGGCCACCTTAGGATATTTAAGTTACTCCTAAATCCATACACTGAGAAAAGGATACAAAATAATTTTCATAATTAAAGAAAATAATGAATACCTGATATACATATACTTTTTAACCAATTCTATTAATGAAACTAACATTAACAAAAGAGCAGAACTTTCCCATAAAATTAAAACCAAGTACCAGTTTATAGAGTAAGAATCTTTTTTAAGTATGTATATGTTGTACTAGAATGAACAAAAAACATGATAAGCTACCTTTTTCCAATATTACTGTGTATTTTTGGTGAATGTTTGAAGCTTAAAATATCTCTGCAATAGGTGTTTCTCGTTTCTAAACTGATAACAGATATATCTGTGCTGGATTTTTATGTAAAATGAAGTATAAAATTAAAAAAAGAAAAGAAACGTGTTTATATTACTCTGTCATATACATGCATAAATGCGGGCCTAATTTGTGTGTATGATTGTAGATGTCTGGTATTGCTGATCATAAGTATTGGTTTAATTACATAATGTAATTTAATATGCGTGTGTGTGTGTACATTTAATTTTGCACTTCTGGACAACATTTTCTTAAATATATGTAGTGTATCGACAGTTTAAATATCTAAAATTAATCATCAAAACTAACAGTATGCAAGAATAATGATAAAAAAGTGTTTTTTACCAACTTGTATCTGAGATACCAATTTCATATGTAACTGATGTCACTGTCAATTATTAGAAGCATAACTTGAGGAAATATTAAACTACTTGAAACTTTTTATCAAATTGTGCGATTCATCTTTGAGTCCATGTAATCATGTTAAAATTAACTTTAAAGTTTCTTGCAGTATTATGTATTGGTAAGTACTGAAAGCATTATTATTATGCTGTTTTAATTATAGTTTTAAGTGAGTTCTTTGTGTTATGATTATTTGAAATTCTTTGCAGATGGTTTTGAATCCAAATTTAAAAACAGATTCCATGGAATTTTTGAATTACCTTCGCCTGATTGTTTTGAAAACACACCAAAAACCTATTCCAGCAAAAGTAAGTCAATTACTTTAAGTTTGAGTACCTTAAATAAACTTGTTATTCATTAATAATTAATGGCTTATTGTAACAAACGGTATATAATTTTTTGGACTTCTAAAACAAAAACTACTAAAACTTATCACTGTTAGTCACAAAATTAGCACAAATATTACAAAGTGGAATGAAAGAGATTGTGGTTTAAAGATGGTTTAAGTTGCTTTGATCCAGAATAGAAACTCGTTTGTTTTGTGCATTCTTCTTTAGTGCTATGAAGAACAAAGAATCCCATATCTGCCATTATCTTTTGTTCTTCGATGGACATTTTTAAAACCTTGGATGCTTAATAATGAATTGGCAGTTAATAATACCATTTTTTGTTAACTCAGATCAAAATTGATCATCAGTAAAGGACAGTTCTGAAATTTATTTATTTTTATAAAAAATACTAAATTCTGACAAACCTCTTTATTGTGCAAGTTTTGATATTGTACCATTATACATGATTTTCTTCTCAATGAAATTTTCATAAAGTGTCAGAAGTGAAAATTACTTAATTCTTTCTCAAAGTACACTGTAGTGTCATTTCATATTTAATTGTACCGTGCATAATCAAATAGATGGTACTTACAAATGTTAAATTATCTCTTTATACAATGATGTAAATTACATTCAAGTTTAAAGAAACATCTTAATTCAGTATGATGATAAGCTTTGTGTACAAGATTTTGCAGTTGTTTTACACACACACAGCTTATTTACTAGTTTAAGCTAATACTGCTGATAAAGACTGTTTTGGAACATTTAGAAATATGTTGGTAAGATGATCATGTTTAATATTATCAATCATGCCAGTTGAAAAAAATTTATTACAGTTTTTAAGTACTTGAGATGAAACATGTATGGTTCTAATTAAATTCTTAAAAATTCTTGGTATAAAACTGTTAAAATTAAAACAAAGATCTCAAAATGTCCATTTATGAGGGGAAAAAAATCACAAACTTACCATTTTTGTTGTGTATTAATGTTTCTAAAAAACAAAACAAAAAAGGCCTGGCATGGCCAGTTGGTTAGGGCGTTCAACTCTTAATCTGCAGGTTTGAATCCACATTCCATCAAATATGCTTGCCCTTTCAGCTGTGGGGGCATTAAATTGTGATGGTCAATCCCACTGTTTGTTAGTAAAAGAGTAGCCCAAGAGTTGGCAGTAGGTGGTGATGACTAGTTGCCTTCCTTGTAGTGTTTCACTGCTAAATTAGGAATGGTTAGCTCAAATAGCCCTTGCATAGCTTTGTGTGAAATTTGTAACAATTTTAAAAAAAAGTAAGTTGGTGATCATGTTGGTAATCTGCTGAAATTTTTATATTGTCATTTTTACTGTTGAGATAACTAAGAAACTTTCAAACACGTTGATGTCACTTTTCCATTTTCAGCAATTCTGAGGTTTATGCACAGTACAATGCAATTTATGTTAATAAAAGCTGACTAACTTTAGTATAAATAGCGTGTCTTTATTACATCGACATTCAACAAATATTACTAGAAAATCTGAAGATAATGATTGATTGTATTTCAAATGATGATTTATGTGAATGAAAAGAGAAAGAAACAATGCACTGTTAATTCCACAAATGTGCCAATTCTGCTCCCACCTATGTACTTCTGGGTAATTAGAATGAAAGCAACTGGCTATCTTGCTAAACTCTATGGTAGTTTAAAGTTCAGTAAAGATAATGATTGGAAGGGAGTTATGGAACAGTACTTTATAGCTAGAAGTTTATTTAGCATGTAATTGTTTAAAATTTCTTTTGAACTAAAAAATATGGACATTTTACAGGATGTGTATAAAAAAAATGGGACACTTAGGTATCCCAGATAAGACCTCAAATTTTCTGGGAAGCTAATATGGAAAAATGGTGTTGTCTCACAAAAAAATTGGGATTAATGGTCACCTCCATTAGAATTTTGTTGTATATCAGGGCAACAACTTACCAAAAACTTTGAGGAGACAAAAAAGCAAGGGGAAATCTTTAACTTTCTTTATCCATATTGTGACATGGATTACGTCAGATGGCAGATGTCAAAATGAGGTCAAGAGCAGAATTGTACATGCTAAGACAACATTTATGAAGATGAAAAATATATTGACTAACAAAGGTATATCAATGAAAGTGTGCAAAAGAGTTCTTAGCTGCTACATCGAATCAGTCTTGATGTATGGTTGCCAATCACAGACAATAAACAAACAAATGGAAAAATCACTTAATATGACCAAAATATGGTTTATGCATAGAATGCTAAGGGCTTCCTAGAAAGACCTGAAAACAATGAAGAAGTTCTACAACAAGCAGCATTCTTTGGTCATGTGAAGAGGAGAAAGAGGATGGAACACTTGGTTACAACTGGGAAATTTGTGGGGAAAAGAAGTAGAGGTAGACAGTGAGAGAAGATCCTGGACAGTTTAACAATTTGGATACTCAAAGAGAGGGTGACTGATGTAATCACAAGTGTCTGGGAGCGGGAAAGAGACATGATTGCCTACACTACAAAGCACGGCACTTGATGATGATCCATATTGCAAATTATCAAATTAACAAAACATGAGTCAGTACTCTCATAATTCACACCATAAATTAACATATCCAAATGAAAAAGATCAACACAATTATAATACACACTATTCGTGTTATATTGACAAATATTTGAACACCATTAAAAAGAACTTCAAACAGAACACCTAATCGGTCATGTCAATCCTATGAGAAAGGTTATGTGTGTGAAACTGAAAGAAGTCTTGACAGTATAGTCTCTGAACATAAAAAATAAATATGGAAACACAAACAATGAAATTTCCTTCATATGAGATTCTGAGAATCAAATCTACTGAAAACCAACAATAATTTTATGCAAAATGGATAAATATACACAAAGAAGAATCTTTGAAAGTTGTTTAATCAAAAGCTTGCCTAATTTCAACACCTTCTAAGGTCATTTTAAGCTAGACAGCTTCCTGACCTCCTCTACTCTAAAGATAATTCAAAATTCTGGGAACACGTAGGTGTTGTTGACAGGTTTTACTACCAGAAGATAATGTTAGACTGAAGGAGATGCACAAGTGTCAAATCTACTTTCTGTAATATCAAGACTCTTGACAGTTTGTTCCATTTACTGTGGTTTTTCACTATCCATGCTACCATCCAAATCATATGACTACACTACTTACATTGTGCCAATTCATGGACACTGATTGGATTGTGAAGATACAACAGTTATTAGATCAGTATATTAGAATACTAAATGCACATATTGTAGGACTTATTTCTTTTTTTAAGGGGGATGTCCCCAAGATAAATGTTCCCTGGTCAAATTCCCTCATGAACTCAATTTGTGTAAATAACAATAAACCAAATACATTTTACACTCAAAGAATCATATAACTACTATGATCTGCAAATAGCTTGTAAAATCGCAAACTCCCTTTCCCGATTTCTAGTGTTGTAAGTCTGCAGACATATTGCTGTACCACTGGAAGTAATTTGTGTAAATAACAATAAACCAAATACATGTTACACTCAAAGAATCATATAACTACTATGAGCTGCAAATAGCTTGTAAAATCGCAAACTCCCATTCCTGGTATATAAGCACTGAGTTAGACCTCCCAGTGGCACAAAAATATGTCTGCAGACTTACAACACTAGAAACCGGGTTTTTGATACCTGTGGTGGGCACAACACAGATAGCCTATTGTGTAGCTTTGTGCTTAATTACATACTAACTAAATAACTTACACAAGTGTCATATGGTAGAGGAGTATTTGCCATCTAACAACTGACTGTTGAACTATTGTGGTGGTTAATCAAATTGAAAAGATAAAATAGGAGTAAGACGTTTTCCAACTCGCTGTTGTTTACTGCTATTTCTGAAAAATGAAGGTCCTTGCAACTTATACCCACTCCTTTTTTGCCTTTGAGTTTTGAAAAGTTGGACACACCTGGTATAAGCAAGTTTAACGTATTATCTAGTAATTATTTAATGTATCTGCTTACCTGTCTAATAAAAGATTAAACTTATAGGTAAAAAAAAAGTAATTATAAAAATCTGTGTGTTCATACATTAACCATGATTGTTATGTGTGTATGTTATCATAAGTCATATTATTTTATGTTTTGTTTTCTAACAGAGAAAGTTAAAACAAAGGCTTAGTTACTATTAAATTCTTACACTTATTTTAATGGAAGATTATTTCAATTAGTTTTGTTGATAATGATTGACTTTAACAAGGATATTTGGACTTTTTTAAATTTTAGTTTTTTTCTTCTACACTTTAACAGATTTTCCAACTGATAAAAGACAACCCCCACCACCACCACCAATCCCTACCAGTCAAGGACATCCTTCCATGGTTTCTGAATGCTTGACTAGACCTTTGCCTAATGTTCAAGTTATTAATGCAAGTGAATGTTAATATTTGTGTCAAAAGAAATCCGTGCCTCAGAATCGACACGAGAAAATGTGAAACTAGTCAACAACGTTAAACTTCAGTCTTTCCTGCCCAAAAGCTAGGTTGCCAATTAAAGATAACTTTATCCATGACAGTTACTGTAGTGTTTAGAGAAAAAATAATTTGTATAGTTCTTTCCATAAACACTTAGTTGTAGTGAAATGTTTGTTTAAAGCGCACAACTGAGTGAATCTCTTTGTTGGTATAAGTCCGTCAACACTTTAATAATGAAATATTCCATTTCAACCTAAATACTTCCTTTTTTATAACCTTTCAGTTTCTGAAGGATTATCATTGACCCACTTTAGAAGAGAAATATTTATCTCAACTACTTATAAAATATTGGTGGTATTTATTTAGCAATTTTGTAATTAGGATGGATCACTATTACATACCTAGAACCAAAAAAAAAAGTTCTAAGTTCAGTTCATTAATGTATGTGTAATAATATTTTAGATCGTACAGTTTATGGAACCTGTCATGCTTTAATTTTTTTTTCCACACTGTACTGAATAATTTTGTGCATTCTCAATTTTTTCAAAGTTTTGTTGTCAACCTTATTTTAAAGCAAGTTGTTGTATAATTTTATTTGCATTTCGTACTTTATTTTAATATAGGTAAGCAACAGCTATATAATGTTTTTTATTCTAACTTTTAAATATTTTATATAAATACACTCTACAGGGTGGGTAAAAAGTCTAATCACCCCCCCCCCCCGAAATAAAAGTAATGTACATGAAAGTAGGATTTTTTTTTCCATGTTGGCATATCTCATATTGGCTGATAATATTCAATTAATAATTCAAAATGTCTTCCTGTTGGTGTTTTTCATGACAAGGTAATATGTCTCCACATGCAATGTGACATCCTCCTCAGTGACCTCAGCAACATTTTCAACAATTTTTATTTCAAAGCGTCAGTTGTTTCATATCATTCCTTTGCTACAATCAATGAAATTAACATGAGCTTCAAATAAGGGGGATGCCCAGACTTTTTACCCACCCTGGATGATTTTTTTTTGTACTGAGTTCTTGATATTTATTTCCTAAGATACACTTCAAAAGATTTAAAAGTAATATTGACATCAGTTATATTTATTTTTATTTCCATGAAAAGTATGTAGTTTGAGACTAGAGACAAAGTTCTTTGGATGTATTACAATATTGTAAAAACTGTGAAGAAGTTTTATATATTTTGTATTTGATGTAAGATTTTCATCATAGTATTTGTTTTTAATGGTGATAATAAAGTTATTCTCTGTACATATGTTATTGATATTATTCAATCAAGTCAAAAGTCAGATCCATCCGAAACCCAGATGGGACACAGGAGCCAGTGCTTCATTTCAATTTCAGTGGCACAAATGGATAAGAATGGTGACACATTCCTTTCCTGGATGGGACACCAGTCTTTTGCAGTTTAACTCCTAATTACTTGCTGTTGTCCATTGTATAACGAGTTCACTGAAACAATGGGGGGAAAAGTCTCCTGCTCAAGGATACAAGAACATATTGCAAGCAAGCCTTAAACTTGTAACCTTTATGATTATGAATCCAAAGCACTAGCCCCTCTGCTTATGACATTATTTAGTATGGTGTTTTAATCTAGAATGAAAAAGATGAGATGAGGTATTCTGGTTTTTAAGCCATCTGAACATTGCAATATACACAGAGATTCCTCTTCCCAAGTACATTATTGTGGATTCTCAAATTGTAATAGTTTTGTTGTCAGTCCTATTTTAAAGCAAGTTGCTACATATAACTTATTGTACATTATTTTATGTATATCTGCACACTTTTTTTTCTAACTTTAACCCCAAACATTTTTTGCAAGTACCTGAATTGTTTGCATGACAATTAGCCATTTTTAAGCATTTAGGTTATTTCATCTTATTTATTCTTTAGCCACTTCCACATGTAATTTCTTTTATCTGTATTTTGTAAAGAACTGACAAGTTGTAAGCAAAAAAAAAAAAGGTTTCTTAGTTTTAAACAAAAGAATATAACCTAAGTTAATGAATTTAAAAACTGTGATGTGTTAAGTTTCCAAAATCATAGATGGATGTACTCTTAAATAAATAAAAGATCTGACTAATTAACCTAAAACAAGTTATCTAATAATCAAATTGAAGTATAGAGCTAGTGGATAAGATACATATATATATTAAAAAAAATAAAATAATAACAACAACAACAACTCACCTCTACACAGCCTCGGGGAAGACTGCATAATGACACTAGGAGGGAGATGAAACTGCAATGTGGTGTAAGTGATGAACACAAATGTACTGGGGGCTATTTATATTCTTGCCCACAAGAGCACATCCAGGGTAAGTCAACAATTAAAAAGAAGCTATGAGATAATTAACTTGATAGGAGGTAACATGAAAAAGATGTAAAGCATCATCTATCATGGTAGATTAAACAAATCAGACGAGTCTCTTTTGGGCTATACCCTTTTCTTAATAAAGATTATTTATAGTGTAACTGTTGAACATTGTATGTTTGTTGTTAATATTTTACCTATGTATGAGTGTCACTTAATTTATTCGTAGAGAAGGAATCTTTAGGTGCAGGACAGATATGGCAAATGAGAGTCAACATGAAGACAGACTGAAAGAATCTGCCAAATATGCAACAAATAGGATAGGGAGGAAGAGTGAGTTGAGATGAATGAAAAAGCTCACCTGAGAACCAACTGAAAAGAAATGGATTAAAAGAACAAATGTCAAATATTTGCATTATCTGAGTAGTGAAAGGCAAAGGTGGGATAAAATAACCAGATGCAAAGTTATGTTGTGGGATGATGTCCAAAGACAAGGCAAGCTAAGATGAAGGTACAGAAGCAGGAAGTTAGGACTCTAGGATCTAGATGAATCAACCACATGATGTGCAATGGTGGTAACACTGCTCACCATCTGAGTAACTTCAGTCCCCACTGAAGGAAAATAAGAACTTCTACAAAGGAGAGTTTGTATGTTGGAAGGTTTCAGAAATGCAGTTATGAGATATTGTGCATGCAATAATATTTATAAAAATGAATTCATGGTGAAATTTTTTACAAATAAATCTGGTATGTCTGCCGTACATCGACTTTGTGAAGTTCGTATTGATGAAAATTGTGTAAATATTGAAACCCAAGTACTGGGTTAATAGCTATGGTCAACAGTGCTGTGAGAAAAACCATATAACCAACTCTGCAGCATATTTCCTAAAATGTAAGAAAATATAATTTGTAGCACAAGTTCTAACTGATAGTCTACAAGTTAATAGCTTTTTCCAAATCAAGAAAACACTTCAAACGTTAAATAAAAGTTTAAAATAATAAGTAAAAAAATTCTGTAATTCGTAACAAAAAAACATGTCTGAATCTCTAGCAATGCTGACGAAAGACACAAGCCTTTGCTATATTCTATGTATTCAAAGTGAATACTGTGCAAGGAGAATCTGTTACCCTCCTGTTGGTGGAAGGCCATAGTCTAATTTTGATTGTATCAAAGACTGGCACAGAATACTTTATAATGTGTACAGGTGAGAATTTTGTTCGAGGGCTTGGAGTGTGTGCAAAAACTATCAGCAGTGGTGCAAGGAAGGGCTCTCAGTTCTGTGGAGAGGTAAATAACATTTCTGATGTGTAAATGTCCACAAATATTGACCCCTACTTTTTTAACGATAAGTACATAATGAAAATATACCAGACTACTTGACTCTGAAGCAAACTGGAATTTTAACTCCCCAGGTTGTTCATGCTACATCAAATAAAAATGGAAGCAAAAAGTCAAAACTGAAATTAGCCCTAATGCCAATACCAAAAAAAAAAAAAAAAAGAATGGTTAGATGTGAAAATGAAAGAGGGGCCACTCTGTAGATAGGCCAGCTCAGGCACAAGAGCTGATCTTCCAGAAGGTTCATGACACAAGTTCATTATGTACATTTGTAGATTCTGTCACCAAAGAGGGGCCACTCTGTAGGTAGGCCAGCTCAGGTACAAGAGCTGATCTGCCAGAAGGTTTATGACATTTGTAGCTTTTGCCACCAAAGTACTAATCAAAAATAACATCCAAAGTGATAATCCCCTCAAACCTTGGAATCCTCTACAGTCACACATTAAGATAGAATATGAAGCCTTTGAGAGGATATTTGGTGAGGTCTCTCAGATGAGTGATTTGGATTCATTCACAATTCATCCCACCCTTGTGACAGTATCTAATGTCTGCTGGGTACCAAACCAGCTCTAGCTTGGGGATGGAATCAAAATCAACCAATTTATGACCATTTGTCAAAGTTGGGAGGATAGGTATCTACAGTCCTGATGAAAACATAATGCAGATGTCACATCAAAAAGAATAGCCCTAAATAGAAAATATTAATTTTCACGAACAAAGTGCAGATAATGCTGAAACATAAAATGTGTGGGAATGTGAAAGTGTGTTTGATATCTCCAATGAAGATTTCTGAATAACCACATTAATATTTCCCATTTTGTAATGAACTTTTATGAAATTTTGAAAAGCAAATCCCCAAAATACCAGTTCCCTGTATGCTTTGAAGTTATACACAATTAACAGAAATCTCATGATTCCAGAATTTACCGTGTCTCCTTTATCCCCCCCTAGCTCTCTTTAGCTAATTGAATACTAATGTGTGGGCTCTGTCTTCAAGCACTCTGAAACAATACCACATTTAAAGTTTATGCATAAAAGTATTTATTTTACATTCATTTGAAAATACAAAAATTAACACGTGTATAAAGGTTCTGTAGAACACTAAGTGGAAGTTCATTATTTTTTATAAACAGGTTATGTAACATACACAAATTTTATAAAAGTGTTTTTAATAATAAAAATAGCATGACTACAAGTCATTTATTGTAACTTACATGAAATTTTTCTATTTTGCTTTTCATTTAATAGCCCTATGCAATTCTAGCAAAATTATGCTAGTTTTAATCCTATTTTCTGTGAATTCATGTGCCAATTTTTCCTGCATGGATGTTATATCAGTCAATGTTACTTCACATGATTAATTACAGCACCAAAAATTTTTTGCAAGAGGGATATTATAAAATGAAAACTGTAGCCTTATACTTAGATATTAATATGCAATACTGAATAACAGTCAATAATAATTATTCTTTACTACTTGAACAAAAGATGAAAAGTATAGGTATCTTCAATACAAATAAGGTTAATCTACAATGTAAAATACATCTCAACACAAAAAAGAAGTCAGTAACTGGAATATGAAACTGCTACAGTACATGTATATGTGCATGACTATAAATGAGTGCAAGTTGTAAACAGCTAAAAATGAATAGAAAAATAAACATTACTTTTGGCAATATATACGCATTAAAGCAATGACTAGATAAATCTGAGTTTCCAATAAGCACATGAACCATCTACCACACTTGTTTACGACACATTCCGAGTAATATAAATACTACAACAAAACTGTGTTGAATTTACACATAATTCAAGACTAACAAATAAGATAATGTATTCAGTAAGGTATTTTATTAAAAATGTTTAATTATGACAATTAAAAAGAAAACCAAGCTTTTTTAAAATTTACAAACTGAAACTTAAATTTAACGTGAAAATCATAAGCCTATGTGTACTTAAGAAATAATATTCTAGAGGCCATTACATAACTATAATAAAATATGTGAAAGAACCTAATGATAAGTTTTAACAATATACTTTTATTTATGAAACAAGAAAGGTGTAAAAGATTGTATACAACAACCTTGTATTACAATATTCATTTTTAACTACATTGACATGTACTCAGCCCCCAGTGGCACAGCAGTATGTCTGCAGACTTACAATGCTAGAAACTCGTGGTAGACAGAGCATATATAGATAGCCCTTTGTATAGCTTTGCACTTGGCTATAAAGAAACAAATGTATGCATATTCGAAATCACATGCACGATATAAGAAATTCCCATCAGTAATAAAGATGTACAAGATGCAAGTGTTAAATGTGAAAGGAACACTGTAGGGAGGGGCTGCAAAAACACAAGATAACTGATTATAAGAATAAAAGCTCCAATACAAACCTTTTGTACTTTTTTGAGAGTGTAAAGAATTTCTTTAGGCCATTTAAAAAGAAAAGATTCTGTGCTGAACAATTTTAATAAGCACCAGGTTACTAGCATAGACAGGCAATAAAATCAATTAATTACCTTTAAGCATCAAATACACTGATTAATCAAAATTACAGTTAAACCCTTCAGAAAATACCCAAATAGTGTTTTCAATTACAGGGGCTCTGCCAGAGGAGTTTGCTAGCCACCGCCTTTAAGCAAAAGACGAAAAAAATTTTATGCTTATTTTAACATTGTATTATGTTCCTTGATTCACCACTTAACATCACATCATTCTTCTGCAGATATATCTATCTATATTGTCTGTTTTACTTAAAGATAATCACTACCTATCAAAGGCTTATTCCCTTTGTCATTCTGTCATTTACTCTTACCATACAATGTAATGAAGTGAAAGCTAAGCCCATTAGTAAATTACATTATTTTAATTGTTGTTAATAACAATATCATATGCACGTGATTACGTGTTTGTTGCACACATACATTATTGTAGCAGTAAATCAAATTGAGAGATCTTCAATGCTATTTCAAGAGTATTTTAAATGTCAAAGAAATCAAAGTTTACAGGTGGCAAAGTTGCAAGTGCACATTGGAGGTTTCAATTTAGTAGGCTTTGGTTTCCCATCATTTTTGATGGGCTTTTATACTAGTTCAATATAATTTAAATACAAGTTTGTATGCAAAAAAGTTGTATGTATATTAAGCGTATCAAAATTCAATACAATTATGAAGATACCTTTATTCTATAAAATCTAATCATGTGCAATGTTATAATTATATATTCTGTGCATCTGGCTCATTATGTGATTCATATATCATATTTATTTTATATTTCATTGCTACAATAATTATGAATTTAATAATATACTCCATAAAAATATAACGTAACGTATTGAAAATTTTATTTAATTAATCCTTAATTTCATGAAAATAATTTTCATTTCTCTCAAAATGTATACATTGCATAATTATATCATTGTTTTTCTTTCAGGTATGGCTACCAAAAGGCCTCATGGGCAGAAGGAAATTGGTGAGTACTTCAAAAAAATTAATAGAATTCAGATTGAGGAAATGCCTACTTCAACATCAGCCAATCAGGTTTCTTCTGTTGCTAAAAGGTGATTCAGAAAATGTGATATAAATTCCAACTGAGAGTGAAACAGTGATAATTGAAAATGAAGTTGTGTCTGAATCACCACCTGCATCCCACAATTCACTGGACATTGCACATGCAGTAAACAGTGACCTAACTGAACCTGAAAGAATAGTTTTCTCAAATTTTTGGAAGCCAAAGGAAAAATGTAAACTACATAGCAGAACTTTTAAAGTAGCTGGAAAAAACTAAAACTATCTCATTTCAACATTGTTAGCTCCTAGAATTCAAATGGCTGGCCTATAGTGAAATTCTTCCAGGAAGATGGTGTGTATCATGCATACGTTTCTCAACTAAGGACAAAAACTAGTGCATATGTTTTTGTTACTGCTCCATTTGTGAACTACGATAAGTCTGGTGAGCACTCGCGCAAGCATGAATCAAAATTTTGTCATCAGGATGCTGTTCAAAGATCTTTAAGACTTCCAAAAACAGTTTGAAAATCCTTCAATGAGAATTGATGTGAATATAAATGAAATAACTAAATCATATATGAAAAGGAATTGCAAAATTCTTCCAAGTATTATAGATGCTGTTTTTCTCTGTGCCCAACACGGTATTGCTTTGCAGGGTACCAAAGGCAATAGTATAATCGATTTTGTTAACCTCCAAGTTCAAATGAAGGAAATTGTATTGCTCTTTTACAATTATTGGCTGAAAAAGATGATTCTTAAAACAAAAAAATTTCATTCATGCTCAATAATTGTAAAATATACGCATACTGATATCCAGAATGAAATACTGCAAGTGACAGCAGACTTGAAAAGAAAATTTGTTTTAAGCAATTTAAAGAATTGTCCACATTTTTACATAATGATATATGAAATCACCTCACATAACAATGAAATTCTCTCAGTCTGCTAATGCATTTAAGTTAAAGAAATCAGACAAAAAACCTATTATTCATGAAATGCTGATTGACTTTGTACCTCTAGAACGAGTAATAGGTGTAGCCATTGTGATGTGGATGACAGCAGCATAGTGACAACTCACCAGCCAAATCCATAAACAGATTATTGAAAGAAGGCCATTGTAATTCCCTTTTTGAATCATATCATTTCTCAATTAGAAAGCAGATTTGGTGAGAATAAACAAACTCATTTTGAGTTGTGTAGCCTAATACCAGAGTTAGCTAAACACATGAATATTGAAGCTATTTACACTATTCTATTTGATAAATAGCAGCATATACTGTCAAACTTAGAACCACTTTACAGTGAATTAAATGGTGGAAATATACTTATGAAAATAGCAAGGAGACCTCACAAAATATAATTTCTGTTTTGCACTTAATTGCAAATGTATGCTTTTTCCCTAATGTATGGGAGCTTCTTCTTGTGTTAGCTGTACTTCCCATTGGCAGTGTTGAAGCCAAGTGAAGCTTTTCTTGAAGAATACATTTACATTTACGAAAAACGAGTGTGCACGGAATGGGAAATCTTGGTGTTGTTGCCATACCTGTTCTATGAGCAATTTTGGAATCAGGAAAGAACATCTAACAAAAAACTTTATTCAACTTCATCCTCAATGTATGACTTTTAGCAATAAACTAATCCCTACAAATTAATTTCTTAAGCTTTTTAAGCTTGTTTATCTATTTAATTTTAGCTCTGTTAAAATAAACTGTTAAAGTAGGTGAACTTCTCTAGCTTTACACAAATATATAAATACAAAAAATATTGAAAATGTTGGTATTCGAGCAGCTAGTCCCACCCCAAGTATCTAGTAATCAAAATTATGATTAAATCTATTGATCTGATGAAAATAATAAACCAACCAAAATTAGCATTTCTAGTTATTCTACCTATCCAATAATTGAAATATTGCCATTATGATTTCATTTTTGACTAATTCAAGTTTGTTCAATTTAATCAATTATGTCATGGCTCATGATAACAATCAACTTATCGAAATTAAGGTTTCCAGTTGTCGTCACTTCTGATTATTCAAACTATCCAAGTAATCAAAACATTTTTTAATAAATTTGTTTGCTATTAAACACAAAACTGCACAATGGGCTGCCTGCACATCATGGGTATCGACACCTGATTTTTAGAATCATAAGTTTTATTTTGGTGCTTTTTAAGTCATGAACAGTGGATATTTTTCTCTCCCACTTAATGAGAATAATCAATTACTTCGATGTTTATGATTAATGGGAGTGACATTTAATTGATTAGCAACTACTTACCAAGGTTACTTGAGAAAGTAAAGGCTAATTGGTCATTCAAGGGACAAATACTTATTGTGTAGCTTAACTAGGTCATGTGCTCTTTGATGGTTTTTGTAATCAACGATACTCCCATCAATAATTCGAGAAGACAAAAAAAAATTACAACCTGCAGGGTATGAAAACTTTTTGCTTGTACCCAAGAATAAACTTTACTTCATCTAACTATTTTAAGTTTAATTACTTAATGTGCAAGTTTAGTTAAACCCTTTAAATAACAATTCAAAACATGTTCTAATATTGATTATAGTATACTTTTACAAAAATATACACCCTGAATTAATAAGTATATAAACACTAAATTTTAAAATAGGAAAAAGAAAAAAAATGTATGATTCAGTATGTTTCTAGTCCAAGATCACTCAAAAGGTAAAAAGAAAAAAAAAATCCATTAAAGATGGCAACTAATGCTGGCTTCTATTAATGTTAGTAAAATACACCAACATTGATCATACCGAAGGTCATACAATAAGTTGTAAATTTATCCTATAAACAATAATAAAAAAGTATCTGTACCAAACAACCCTATTAGGATATACTTTCCGTTCTTGAAAAAGCAATAATTATTCAAACATTATTGCAGACAAGGCAAACATTTTTCAAAGTAAAGAACGATGTTATCAGAATAAAAAGCAAAACCTTCTGCTGAGCATATGTTGACAAAAGGAATTGACAGTTGGGATTAAACATCTTATTAGGCACATGTAGCTTTATACACATATAAAAATAAGTAATAGCATGATTTTCTTACAATTTGTATAATTTGAGGTACTTGAAGCTGTGTATTTAGATAATATAAAGAAAAGACTTACTCCTTCCAGTGCTTATCAGCAAATTAAATTCCCTTCTGATAAGCCTACACAGTTCTATTTTGTTGACCAAGTTCATTATTTTACTCAAACATTTATATTGAGATATCAATACAGGAAGCTAACTTGTTGGTCACTAACACAAACCTAGAATTATTACATGTTTTTTTTGCTTCTCATCAATAGCTACTTTGATAGGAAAGTATGCACCTTTGTGATACACACTAAAACTAAAAATATTTTACATTCAGCTAAAGTTTGATAACACAGCTTGTTGAACTTGATACTCTACCTGAAAACTGTAATTATACTGCGCTTGTAAATGTTCTTCGGTCTTTAATGTGATTTCAGGGATAATAAACGGAGGTAGGCGACTGACGTCACCGTATTTTGGATTTACAGTGAAAGGTATTCCATCTAGCATGGCACTATGAGTAATAGAACTTCCATATAAGGTATGTTGTCCTTGTATGTATGGTTGCTGACTTTGTCCAGTGCTTACACCCCAATTACCTGAAGCTATATGTTGACCATTTGATGGCCCTACTCCTCTAGGGTATTTTGTTGGAGAAATTGGACCATATTTGTAACAGATTAATAAGCTATTTACCTCACCTGCAAGAATAAATCCAAAAGGAGGTTTTTTTGATTTACTCAACACAATAATGTCAGTTACTGCCACTTGCACAGATTCTCTTCTTACAACTTTATAACACAGGTTTTTCTTTTTCATGGCTTTTTGTTCAGTGTCCCAAGTATAGAACAGAACAGTCCATTCTGATGATAAATCTTTTTCTCCAGCTATGGCAATAGATTCAACCACTTCATCAGAGCTGTACTGATCTTTTGAGAAGCATATATATCTGGTTATCCTCTTGCCGAATATTCTATCTTTCCATAAATCGGCATCTGTGTCCTGGTCAAAAGTCCGAGATACAACTTGAAAACCTGGTGGACACTTGGAAGGATCTTCAACTATGCAGATTTTTGTAATAACTTGATCATCTGGCAAGGCTTTGAAAACACTCTGCAGATCCATAACTCTCACTCTATCTGGATGGTTGAAAATTTTTCTAAGAACAGAAAACAAAAGTTACTGAAATTCTAGCATGTGAAATACTGTCAAGAAACACTTTACATTCAGTTCTTTTAAAAGCACTGTATATAAAACTTTTGACAAATTAATAATATGTATTGAATATTAATATGTAAAAATATCTTAACATTTCATGCTACTGTACACTTACAAAATCAACCACATTTCTTATGTACTGAAATCAACCCAATATTAATATTTTAGTATTAACAATAAAACTCAAAGATCTATTTGCTTTTTAAATTCATACTCTTTTTTTTTTCAAGAATGTTGACTTTAAAAAAAGACATTTTATATGCACAGTAAGAGATGGAAAAAACATAAAAAGAACAACTTGATTTCAGATTTACAAAAACAAGATAAACATATTTAACTGAATTGAGCAATTTACTTTGGAACCATCATACAGATTCATTTACATGTACATTGCTAGCTAATGCTACAATTTTTAGTTGAATCAAATTTGCTTTAGTAATAAATAGTCAAAGCAACTCCAAACATGGTAAGTTTGGGTACAGTGAGTGATACATGTATGCTTCTCAGAAGTAGGTATAATGAGTTCTCTGGATTTTATCTAAATACCAGTATACAATTTCAAACAGTTTCTTCTACACATTATGGCTTGAATACTAAGGTACAAAATGACAGAAAGCACAAAGTATATGCCAGTCTTACTTTTATGCATCAATGGCAGAGAAATCCATAAGTAAGTATATACTACAGACAACAGAAGAGTACGTACATCATAAGTAGCCAATGTGCATATTTGTGTTCACTTGTGTTGAAATACTAATCATTCAGTTGAATGTATGGTTTCATTAAAAGTCCAAACTAATGAAAAATAAATATGTCTAGACTTTACAAAAGTTACCCCATTGTTCTTCAGAGGATTCCAAAGAATTTATACTTGGTAAACTGTGCAATGAAAATACTAAAGAGCTACCACAATGAACATAGATCCTAAAAGATTACACTTGAAGAGATTCAAGTTGAAATACAGTTTTGACACTTTTAAATAAAAAAATGACAGAATAATATCTGTGAAGGAAATTTTTTCAATAGTGGAAGACATCAGTGGATCACAAGATGGTAAACCTGATGTCACCTTTTAAGAAAACAGCATTAAGAGACCCTTAATTGGTTAAAGCATACAATAGTAGCATCCGAAGGGAAAAGAAATGAAAAATCATGTCCTGATATTAAAACCCAGTTCAAGATTTGGGATTAATAAACTCTGAGAGTAGAATGACTACAAGGTTGAGATACTACCTGAACAGGCAAGGTATTGGAAAACCAGCCTTGAAAACACAGATAAAAATTATCTTTATAAAAAATGTAGTTTGTGGTATATAAGCATACCATGCATTTCTAAACTTATTTTATTATAGTATTTTTCAAAATTAAAGTTATTCTAGGTTTATAGTTTTCACATAACATGTGGTTATAAAGGTCACACACCTGGTCTGCTTGAGGAAGATGTAGCTATATTGCTGCAGATTGTGCAGGATGTCAACAGCAGTATCCTCCAGTAGTAGGGCAGGTGATACCTTGAGGTAACAGCCTCCCTTAAGTTTGGATGAGAGTATCCAGTCGTGTGATAAGCACTAGTCACACTGGATAAGTCTGATGCTACCTTTGAATTAGGTTATTAAGGTTTAAACAGTCCGGTATATGGTATAGTTTGAAGAGAAAAGTTTACAATCCAGTAAAAGCAAATACTTAGCATTCTAAGCAAGCATATACACTATGCCTCTATTATTTAATAAAGGTTGTTCATTTTGTCTAGTCTCTTTTTCCCATTCTCATAAGCTCACTTTCAGATAAATTAAGAACTACTCTGTAATAAATATCTTGTCAGGTCTGTTATTCTCAAGACTTATCACATTTTATGGGAAATCAGTTTCATCTGAAAATACCACAGAACAGTGGCATAACTAGGTTTCAAAAGGCCCTGAGGCAGAAAAGTATTGTTGTCCCCTCCCATTAAAGTCTCTTGGTGTTTCACGAAATCTTTACCTCAATTACAATATTCAAAATCTTAAATATCAAGTTCGAGAGACCCCTGGCCCATCTATCACTATGCCACTGCCACAGAGTGGATAGGAAAAAAGAAAATTTTGGTGCCTTCACCACAGGATATATATCATTTTCTGTTTTTCTTCTTATGTGTGTATTGTACTTTACTCCTACTATTGCATTTAAGTTTTAGAAGGCTTCTTTGTAAGAGAAATAGCATTTTCCACAATTCAAAGGACTTGTGAAAGAGAGTTGGTCATTGCACAGTGATGGTTGTTTGAGAGAAGTCCTCTCCTGGATATCAAACAGTCACTGATGCTGCAAAGGCCCATGACTTCCATCTAACTGCAGCTGATGACTCAAGAAGAGCCACCAGTGTCTGGTGCATCCAAAATGGCTGTTCATGCTCTTCTTGAGGATTGACTTTAGTTCAAGGGAAGTATGGACAATTGAGGGTCACCTCAATGGTGTGGCATCTGTTGATTCTGAGATCAAGTGAGACAGTCTGTATAGAATCCCTAGACTTTCACCAGCAAGAGTAACCATACCCTAGCTCTGGTTAAAGCCAATCGAGAATAGTCTAGACAGAAGGGAGATGCTATTGGTGCAGGGCATCTGAAAATAGGAGTTATCTCACCACCAGATGAGACAGTGAGCATCAAATGGTGAAACCATGGGAAAGTAGTGAGCCTTTCCAAGTCAGAAAATATACTGCAGGGGTGTCCATGCATCATGGAGGAGGCTGGGGTTGTGCAGAGCACATGGTTGATCTCTCAATGGTGACCCTTTACTTTGCTACACAGGACCGGAGATGTACTGCTCATATGAGAGTTGGAGTCTGTGAGCATGCCTACAACACTGTGCCTGTGATGTAGAGGATATCACAGTCAGGTGACAGCCAAGAGTGTGAGGGAAAGTTCTAACCAGAATGGGTCAATGAGCGAAAATAAATGCATCTTGCTCCCAACATTCAAAGATGCAGCTAAGGATGATTTAGGCCATTTTCTGAGCCTTTTCAGGTGGGTCTGGAAGGACTGGTCTATAGATCTTGAGCTTAGATGGCCTGGCCATAGATTATATTGGGTACTTGAGTGAAGTGTAAGTATGGGACTGTGAGACTGTGATTGCCAAGTTGCACAGTAGGTTCAATCATGTGAAAACTCAAGAAATTCATTAGGCTGAATTCAAGACTTAGAAGAGGATACCACATAAGCTTGACCACCTACATGGATGATCTGCACAGTAAGGCTTACCTTGTAATGGCTTCGGCAGATCCTTGTTGACAAGTTTATAGAAGAACTACACAGTAAGATGATGAGGCATCACCTGGGTTTAAGAAATCCAATACTTTCAGATGTTCATCTGTCCACAATAACAAAAAAGTATCAATATATATATGTTGTGTTAACCAGCCTAAAATGAACACAGATCTGTGTACCTTCTTTCTTAAAGTTAAATACTGGAAATGACCAAGTAGTCTCCAAAGGCTGTGTTACTTCATCTTTCAACATTTGCTGTATCTCAATGTTTCCTGTATCTATCTGGTCCCACAAACACAAGGCTATATTCAACTAGCAAATTGAGTTCCTGTTGATTTGTTTAAACCAAACTGTATGTAAAATCATCACAGATATTCTGACAGCTATCATATTTGCTCTTATATGTGGAGGAACTGAAGCAACACCAGCTATACAGCTTGTTCCAGTTATTTCTGCTTCATTCACCATTCAAGCAGGAAGTTGAATAACTCAATGTCCATATAGATCAGTGTCGGGAATATGTCTTCATTCGATGTTTCATGTGTTGGTTTCACCATAAGAGAAAGTGACAAATAATGCAATAGGCTTTATCAATAGTACATCACAGAATATCACGTGTACACTTGGTGGCACTATGGTTTCCTTCTTAAAATTTACTAGTGCAGTCTACTGTTATTGAGTCCAATCTGGTAAGCACTGATTGGTTTTCCTGCAGAACTGCAGTTCACCTATTGCACAATTGAAAAGTAGCTGATAATTTCTGCAGTAGTTCTTCCCCTAAGATACTAATGCTTAAATCAAGATGAGAGTCAAATACCTTAATATGTAAGTGATAGAATTAAGTTACATCTAGCCAGTTTCTGTTAAGCAGAACAGAGCCTATTTTAAGAGGCTGAGCTCCACTGGCAGTGCCCGATATAATACACTGTGAGCCAGAGGTTTGGCAGCTGCTGTATCAACCAGGAACCTGACCTTGCTTTCATACTTTTTTATTGATACATATCAAGCTCCACCAAACTCTCTGCAAATTAGACTAACAACCACATCTTTTGACATAAACTGATTACTGTGCTTTCAGATCAATGGCCACACCAGACTTGGCTCTGTTAGTTTAACCGCACAAAAGCTTCAGTATACATAGTTTATGTTCCTTTTACACCTGCTGTGAAATTAACCAAAATGGAATGGTTCTCCAGTCTTGTCTGGGGACAAGATATAGGCAATTTTATTTGACATGCCCCATCAATCAAAAACTGTGTCATGGATTCTCTCCTTTCCAGAATACCATTTGGGAAGAGGTGCCTGCTGCTGTTATAGCACAACCATCGTGGGAGGACCAGAGAAGCCCTGACCACTTTTTTGTTAACCACTTTCACTGTGCTAAGGCACCAGAAAGTGCTTGTGGTGGGGATGCATGGGGTTGTACTTAAAATTTTCTAAATGTAAGCATTACTGAAGTTTGCTCTAGTCAAGGTTGGGTCTCTGGAACTGCTGCTATGGGCTTCTTCCTTTCCTTTGATCTTTTTTGAATTGACATCTTGAAACCTAATTGCCACAGAAAATGGCCTTGTTAAGGTGTAGATATTTCTAACATCCATATGATGGTGCATTATTTCCACTTGAATGACGTTCAATAAGCGTATCAACAAGACCATCCTCACTAGCTGCAAATGCCACAACAAATCATCTTCAAAAGTGGCCATGTTTTCACTGTTTCCTCTCTTTCTAGACTTGAAAATGTTGGTGCAACTCAACTACAATTTACCTACTTCTCATACAAAGCTAAGTGTTCAACTAAGTTGAACATTAGTCCATCCAGCCTCAACATCAGGGATATCATGCACCATCTACTCAAGTCCAGCCATTCTAGGTAATTATCTGCCTAAAACACTTAAGAAACAGATTTAGATCTTTAGCAGTACTTTTGAACATCAAAGGAGTAATTTGCATCATTTCATTCACAGAGACCTACACACCCACCCTTGAGAAAAAATAAAAACTTAAATTCACCCTTTATTTTTCAGGAAAATATCAATCCTCCTTTTAAGCTCTGTCAATGTGCAGCCTTCCACTAGTAGCTGACAGCAAATCATTACATAAGCCAATCATTATATTAGAAAAATGTCTAAAACTGTGCCTATTCTGTCTTTTCCAAATCTTAAATTTGTGCCTTCTTGTCCTAGTCTTCAGAATACAGCACAAAGAAATCAGAGGCCTTTCTCCTGTCAATCCCTGCACAATCTTGCAAGCTTCAATAAGAACACCTCTCAACCTTCTTTCCTCAGCAAAAAATAAGAGATCTTAGCCTATCTCGACTGGATAACACTTCCATCCTCAGAATAATCCCACTAGCCCTCATCTGAACCATTTCCAATAGGTCAATATATTTTGTCAGACAAGCACACAAACTATATACACTATTCAAAATGAGGCTTAACTAGTGATTTGTATAGATAAATACCTCTTTGGACTTGTAATCATTATGTGTATAAATACCTCCTACAATTCTATTAGATTTGGTACTAGCAACAGAGGACTGCTTTAATAGCTTAAATGACATGTTCTCCACTATAACAAGATCCTTTTCTTCATTCATGTTATTACATAAGTTTACATCTGTATTAAACTTCTAGTCTAAATTATGATATTCCATGTGCATTATTTTGCATGATTACTATAACTAAATGCCATTTGCTAAATATTTATTCAACTAACAAACTGATCCAAGTCAATTTGTTGTACTCCCAAAATCTTAAATATAGTTATGAATACTCACAAGTTTTAAGGTCATTCAAAACTTTAGTAGTTTACTAATTATGCTTCTATCAATATCATTAGTGTAATTAAGAAAATGGAAGGACAAAGTATTGACCCCTGAGGCACTCCACTGGGGTCAAATTTCACTGGACACCATTAATAATTTTTTGTTTTTGCTTATCCAGCCATTCTACAATCCAAATTACTATTACTAGTCCTTCCCCAACCAACATTGATTTGATTTTCTTAGCTAATCTTTTGTGTGGCACCTTATCCAAAGCTTTTTGAAAATCTAGGTTCACACCTAGATGCTGAAAAAGAATTAAAATATTAGTAAGGGAAATTTCTCTTTAATGAAACTATGTTAATTTTCCTTTATAATATGTCACTAAATTATTTTGCAAGTTAGACTAGAATTTTTCTTCATATTGGAGTAAGATGAACTGGTTATGATTTCTAGGGCAATTTTAATCATTCCGTTGAAAAATAAGAATAACTATCAATTTTACAATACTCAGCCCACTGTTTACTGAGTTACCAAAAATGACAGAGAGGCTCATATATGTGATCTTTGACCTCCATGAAAATCCTCAGAAAAATATTGGTTGGTCCTAGTGCATTATATATTTGTAATCTCTTAATCTTTCTTTTTAGCACCAAATGATGAGCTTATACAT